CGAGGGCCTGGTGTTCCCCTCCCCGCAGCCCCAGCTGGTAACCCAGCCCCGCACTGGCTTTGGGCTCACCCGTCGGGGCTGTGCTGCAGTAGCAGCAGCTGCAACCCCTGGACTTGCCATGCCGGACAGCGTTTGCTGCTGCTGCCCAGTGCGCAAGCTCCGGGCAGGCAGCAGCAGCAAACACTGCCCAGCACGGTAAGCGGAGGGGCCACAGCTGCTGCGGCGCAGCCCTGACAGGTGAGCCCAGAGCCAGCACAGGGCTGGGTTGCAAGCTGGTGCTGAGTGCAGGGGAAAACTGGCCCCTCGCCACCCCGTGGCCGGCACCCTGCGCTGCAGCCGCTTGCAGCTCGCATGGGGCTACCTGTGCCTGTTCAGGACATCCCTGCACAGGCTGCGAGCAGCTGCAACAGGGAGTGCCGGCCACAGGGTGGGTGAGGGGCTGTTTTTCCCCCCCTGCACTCAGCACCAGCTCATCCCCTGCCCTTCCCCACACTCCTCCCCCATCTTACCTGAGTTTCTGGCGCTGGGCAGCCACATAGTCCCAGGCCAGAAGCCCCCGCTGGGGCTTCTGGCTGGGGGGTGGCAGGAGGGCCCAGGCGGGCCCTGCTGTTGCAGGAGCTCTCCAGGGCTTCCCCTGGGTCCTACTGCCCTTCGTTCCTGTCATCTTTGACAGGAACCAAGGACAGATAAATTTTCATTTTCTCAATTTTTTTAGGAGCCCTGCAGGTCAGATAGAATGGTCTTACTGGTCGGATCTGGCCCACAGGCCATATTTTGCCCAACCCTATACTAATCCACCCCAAGAGTGCATTTTAGTGTAAGATATTTTAGAGATTTCACAATGAAAGTATCACAGACTAATTCTAAACATGCGATCACTTACAGAAGGAGAGAAGACTCAATTCCCATCTCAACAGGTTGCGTCTTGGTGTGAAGTAATTAAAGGTATAACTATGTTATTTTCCCCATCAGTCTTATCTTTTTCCTGTTCCCCCTTTACACTGTCATACTAATGTTGTGCCTGGATTCAACTTAGGTCTCAATCCTCCCACCAGTACCAGATTAATAAAAATCCTTAGTAATAGGATCCTCAGATAGGTTGTTAGCAATTTTCTACAACATCCTGTAGAAAACATCTAAATTGAAGGGCCGCCATACTGAGTAATCTTTGCTAGTCTCCTTAATGTCTCAGCCACATATCTCCCTTTCATGCAGCCTACTTTATAAGGACACACAACACTTGTGCCTTGCTACAATATGCATCTGGCAGAGGGGGTTGGTCAGTAGTATCCAAGGCAAAGCAAGCTATAGGAGTTCCAGTTATGCTAAGCCAAAGCACCCAAAACACGTAAAAATCTATTAATGAACAGAAAAGCTGGTACAAGAAGGGAGTGATGGTAGAAGTAAAATAAAAAATGGGGGCAGGTGCTGAGCTAGAGAAGAACTGAAGATGCCAGGTGTATGAACTTGGCAAAAAGAAAAATATAAATGATTATCTATACATAAAAATAATATAAACAGTAACATGAAAACCTGGGTATTTGGGTATAAATAGGAGTGGTGAATTAGTTGTTTCTTGTAGCAACCTAGCGGCAGGTAAAGGAAGCACACTGTTCCTATTCTGTCCCCATGGTCTTACAGAATTGGGCAGACTGCTAAACAGACCAGCCAGCAGACTGTCTGAGTGACAATAAACCGGTCTGAGCTTTTGCCACTGAACACAAATTTGGAGTCATTTTTTCTGCACACCTAGACTCTAGGAACACGTCCACACATGCAGGCCATGTACACTTGCAGCAGCTCAAATACCAGCAGCACAAATTTGTGCCAGAGATTTGTGCCTCAGCGCTTATGCCTGAACATGCACTTCGGTGTGGAACACGTGCCACTTTAGGCAAACTGACTCTGCCCAGCTCTTCCCTGATCTGCAGCCCAGGGGACCTAGAGGCTGGGGCCAGCACCTGTGTCAGCCACCTCGTCTGCCCTTCAACTGGGTCCCCAGTGCCGGCCCTGGGCAGGCTCCTCTGCCTGGGCCCCACCACTTGCCTCACTAGCAGAGATCCTGATGTTCCATTTTAAAAAAAATGCAAACTTATTAAAAAAACCCAAATTCTCTCACTAAAATACCCAAAAGCCATGTTCTTCCCATCATTAAAATGAAATGCCACTATATAGAGAGAGATCATGAGGGCAATGTTTTATTGATATATTTACCATTTTAAAGCAATTTGGAAGCCTACCAGTGCCACTATCGTCATAATAAAACAAATTCTAAATATCTATACACTTTGGCGTTTGCTTTTGTTTTTTATCATAGAAAAATCAGAGCTGCTCCTGCCTCTTTCACTCACTAGGATGTGCGGCGCTGAGCAACAATGATATGCCAGTGCCCTGCCCCTACCATTGCCCCTCACTCCCAACCCACAGCCCCTGCCAGTGCCCCTCACTCCTGACCCGCAGCCCCTGCCTGCCCCCACTAGCTCCCTCCCAGCCACAGCTCCATCTCAGCACCAGGACGTAAGTCCAGCTGCAGCTGTCCCACCCACTGCTTTGTGGCTCTGAGCTGCTGTTCTGCTCCCTGCACCTGTGCCCAGGCCCCAGCAATCCCCATGCCATTCCTGGGAAGCCCTTGACTGGGGCCCAGGGACTGCGTTGGATAAGTCCCTTCCATTCTAAACCAGCCTCCCCCTGCACAGGCTGCTCTAGGGGGCAGAAGGGCTCTAAACTCAGCTCTGGCAGCCTCTCCAACCCAACCCCCATCTCTCTCACACACCTGCCGACACCTCCACCCCTCTCCCCAGCCCATCACACCCCCACAAGTGGTTCCTGGGACCAGGAACCCCCCAGGCTGGAGGCACATGCTCCAGCACGAGTGTGGGCACAAGATAGGGCTGCAGTGTGGCAGTTGCCTCTGCAGCCATAGCTCACACCAGCAGGTTCCATTCCGCCTGGTGGCTGGGCACACAGGGTGTGAGATTTGTCGAGGGACATGGTGGGGGGTGCTTGTGCAGAGGTCTGTGGGTGTGGAAGGACTGTATGGGAGACTGCTTGGGAGAGGTGGGTCCGCTACCCACCCCCCACGATGCGCAGACCCTCCCCCCCCCCCAAAAGCAACAGCAGCCACTATCAGGGCACTTGTGGCCCACTGTTGGCAGAGACCCCCAGCACCGCCTCAGACCCAGTGGCTGCACGTGGCTCTGGCCTGGCTGCTGGACCACCCTTGCACAGGACCAGGCTGCTCTTGCTGTGACCCGTGGCTCCCAGCACTGCACACAAGCGCCACACACCCTGCTTAGAGACTCCACAACAGGCACATGCGTGTTTGTCTGGATGTGGCCCACAAGTCCTCTAACACTGACCTTCCACAGCACTCAGACCCCAGCAGCCTAAACATGGAAAGCAACAGCGAAAAACGCCATGTGCCTCAGAACAAACACAAGCAAGCAAAAATAATAAGAGATTTGAAAATCAAAGTCAATTGAGTCGCATCTACCAGCTTCTTACTCAGTGACATCCATGTTTTAGATTGGAGGTTTTTTCCCATCCTAACAGCCTTTAAAATCTTAAAGTGCATTGTTTTCTCTCTTTTTTTAAAAGTATGATCATTTATCTTTGTGCCTTTGCATGCTATGTAAAACACACTTCGATCCCTTACCTTGGGTTCTTTTAAATAACAGTGCATGGCCTGAGTCACATCAGCAGCATGAACTGCATTATGATAAGGGTTTTGACTATGATAATCTTCTTGGACCATAACTACAGGAAATAAAACAAGCATGCAAATTTAAATAAAATGGCAATCTTTAAAAAAATGTACTGTTTTACATATCCTTGTTAAACACAGGAAGAGACTAAAATATTAAAATGTGACTTTTTGTGCATATAAAGGTAATGAACCAAATTCATTTTAAAAGTTTAGCCATCCCTCCCCCTACACACACACACACACACAGCTTGACAAAATTGGAACAAATAACCCTAATTTTTAACTGGTCTGGCAACAGATAATTGATGCATCTTGCCTGACTGGACTAGCTGGAGTCCTTAGAAAATACAGAAATAGGTGATTGGGAAGGAACAAAAAGGAATTTGGATTGAGATTTGGACACTGAGCTGTCCTGTAGATTATACAGCGATCCTCCAAAAAACCCTGCTAAGAGGGCTTGAGTCTTATTTCTCTAGGTCTGATTAAGAATTAACCCTAGTCAGCATCAGTAAAAATAAAAAAAAATAAGAAAAGTAATTTATATCTGATATTGTCCCAATTACCATCATCTCCACTTCACATTCACTTGTAATCTGATATTCAGCTCTTAAAATCTTCTGAAGACAAATGTGATATATAGCAACTTTCAAACTAATATTCTTGGTTAAAAAAAAAAAAAAAATCAAATTTTTCCAAAAAATATTTCCAAAATTGCTGAAATTCATGTGATTTTGTAAGTGTGGAAATGTCCCCACCCCCATCACCACATCTGATTTAATTATAAACATTTCTTGAAGTGCACTGACTTGTGAAAAACCAACACACTATCCAAATTAAATTTGTATGCAAAATATATTGACAATCACAGAAGCAAGCTTCAAATTTGAGCTGTTCAAATTTGCTAAACTGTAGCCAATACTTCAATTAGCATCTTAATGTACAAACAAGGAGTAATAATGCTCACTGTAACAGGCTAGAACATACCTAAAAATCTGCGAAGTTTCATCGTATCTAACTGGAAGTGTTCAATTAGTCCATGAAAATTAAACAGGTGGAAGGTTAAGCTCACTAGACTATTTCCTAAAAATAAGATAAAGTAGTAATTAAAACGCATGAAATCAGTTCTATCACAACAGAGAAACATTTAAAATCATAGGTGAACAAGTTATGCAAACTGATTTTTCCTTAATTTTTGTCTAACTTATGAAACAAGAAGCATGTGTAGATTGAGATTTAGTTTTATGAATGGTCTCCACACCAATGATCCTCAATGCATCTCCAGCCAACAGTGAAATCTGCAATGAGAGAAATCTCACTAGTATTACAATTAACAGATCAGGTTTTGATGACACCTTCCTTTTGGTGGAGAACAAATTTAAGAACAGATTTATTGCTGAAAAAAGAACACAGTTAATTAGATCAGTAAGATGAGCACCACTGGTGACTGCTCCAAGCTGAAACATCTACTTAACTCTGCCATCATGTTTTTGACTTAAGCATTCCTTATTGCAACCAGAAATAAAAGAAAAGAAATGTGTATACTGCATTGTGCAGTATTACTACAAGCTTGCTCTACAATTTGTTTACTAGAAACTACAATATTTAATATCACACTTTTAATTTACCTTTAAAAAAGTTCCCAGAGGCAGTAAGGAAAGGCTTGCAAATTAAATATATTGAATCAAATTTGCAACATATTTACTTTAACCCCCCATTAGATGTTTATTGAGGAGCACAAAATTCCCCCAGCATATAAAACTTACTGTCAAGTCTGCATTATATATAGCACATTCATACCACTTTCCTCAGAGGAGAGGAGAGAATTTCTACTTGACACTAAGATGGAACAAGTTCATTTAGACTTAAATGAAAGTGAGCACCCACATAGCTTTTTGAACCAATTGTTTAGTTTCACCAAGTTATACTTACATTACCATGCTCAATCTCCACTCATTTATTTAAGACACATGAAAACATAAAAGCAAGCTTCTTTTAACTTACAACAATATAACATGATATGCAAAGCTTTCCTTCAAAGGCAGAACCATCAGTTTGTGAGGCTACACCTACTTCTCTGAGCTGTTGCTCCCAGGTTTCTATTCAAGGTCTCCTATGACAGTCTCTCAGACTACTACCCTGTTCTTTTCTTCTTCAGTTTCCATTGCGTGACCCTACATGCTGACTTGTAAAGTTGATATAGCTGAAGTCATACACTAACTACTCTCAAAAACTACTCTTAACTACCAGCTTCTCCTCCTCTACCTAGGTCCCACATCTGTGTGGTTCAGGTATTCTACCACATCCAATGCAGAACCACCAAGAGGAGCTCTTCTTTTTCCCCCTAAAACCTCCTCACCTATCATAGTTATTACCACTACTTCATCTCACACTTGCAGTTTTAGCAGCTCTTCCCTCCAGAAGCATTTCTGCCTCTTGCCAACTCCTTTCCAGTATTTTAACATGTAACCCGTCCCCTTCATTTACATAACAAGATGTTAGCCCATTATCTGGTAGTTTACCATATTGAAAAATACAACTACTTCTTCAACAGTTTCTGACATGTCCATTTCTTGTTCCTCCATACTATTCAACATGCAGCTGCCAGTATCATCATATATACTAATTTAACACACTGCCCTGCTTTTACCCAATTCCTACATAAGCTTTCCTTCTCTTTATTCCAGTTCCAGGACTATTCTTCAATTACCAGATTATCTCCTAACTCCCTCATACTTTATATCTTTGCTATCACCTCTTTCTAGAGCCCTTGCTGCTTTCTGAAATCTATATATACACACCATATAATTTTTTCTCCATTCCATTCCCCACTCTTGCTTTAACTTTTCTTCTATGGTACTCCTATAACTAGAAGTTTCATTTTATGTATATCTAATTTCTACAGCCTCACCTGTTCTGTAAAGTTTCCCAGCTATAAACACTGGTAACAATTCTTCATTTTTCCCCACTATTTTCTACTGGATTTTAAATATTCTGACTTTACACTGAATAATCCTTTGGAGGTAAGGGTGCTGTTAAGCATAAATGAATCTATGGAAAAGAATGCTATGCACACTAACAGCTGTCTGTAACTGAGCAAAGAGAACAGCACAGATTTTACTGGTTACATTATTTTTTAATTTAAAATATATTTTCAATAGTAATAAAGAAGAGATAACCAAGCTATTGAAGCAACTACCTGAAGAATCTATTACAGAAACTCAAGAAATGACTGTAAGTAGCTATCTAGAATTTACGTCTAGATTTTCAAACCAAATTTTTTTCCAAAATAAACCCACAAATCTATAATCAAAGAGCTTCAACAAGCAGTTAGATCCCACCCCACAAGTAATGACGTATCAGTTTAAAGTTGAGCTAAAAGTATTTTTTATGAATAGTAAAAGCCACAAGCTTACCATTTGTTAGCCTATCAAAAAGAAAGATATCAAAATTCCAGTTTCCAACTTTCTCCAGCATACACTGAAAGCAAACAAAAATATTTCCATTGTAATATCTTCATTCATCATCTGCCCATTTCAGATTTCAGAGCCAGCTGTAAATTTTAGTATATCTAGCTAAAAAAAGCATTAAAAGGAATACAATTTAAAAAACAAGTTCTGTCCAGAAGTATGAGCTAATATTGTTACAAACTATTCTGTATGTGTTCTGAAATACTGAATGTAGTTGTCTTTTCACAACACTCCGATTTGCTTTTTCCCCTTCCAGCTAGTTTACAGAAAACAATCATGCCCTGTCTCAGTTTTGTTAGACTTCAGCTGTGCTCTCAGTTACTTCTTATAAGATGGCTCTCTATTCTACCAGTCATCCTACTCATCTTTCACTGCAGTTTGAACTGATCCTTCTGGAACACAGATGAACAGAACAGTAGATAGCATTCCAGATGAGGTCTCACCAGAGCTATTGACAACAACTCTGATGCTTACCTAGGATCAAATGTATTTGACTTTAGCAACTACATATTGGTGACAGCCAACCTGTGATCCCAGGTCTTCCTTTTCTGTCTCTTTCAACTGATGAGTTCTCATGTGTTAACAGAAATTCTTGATATGAAGCCCGAATAGATACTAATTATATTATTCCATTCAGTTCTTCCTGTATAGTAATCCTGATCCTCCTTCACACTGATGATGCTTTCTAACTTTTGTGCCATCAGCTCACTCCTACTTTATGCCCCAAGGTCACAGGTGCCGAGTACAAAATCGGGGCCAGAGGGTCATGAACCCCCTTCGGAAGAGGGCTGTCACCCAAAATGCATAAAACTTCCTACATGTCCATCATAGCCCCTCAGCAAAAATAAGAGTACCTACGCCCAAGGTCATAAATGAATATATTTAATAGGAACTTAGTCCCAAGAACAAATCTTTGAACTCAACTAGTAACCTCCATCTTTCCTAACACTTTAGTTTCAAGCAAAATCTATGGTCACCTTTCCTTTTGGTTCCTTTCCCATCTCACTACTGACCATCTTCTCCAGTTAACTACTAATTTCTCAAGTGACACTATCAAATACTTTACTTAAGTCCAAAAAGATTAGAGCTACCATATTTCCCTTGTATAACAAAATCAGACATCCTGTCAAAGAATGATAAATCAAGTTAGGTTAGCATGATCTACCTTGGGAAAAATGCCATGTGAAAAAAATGCACACTTATTTTCTATTTATCTCTAATTTTATCATTCCTACAAATTCCTGCATGTTTTTTAGGTTAGACAAACAGACCCAGAGTTCCCTGCATCGTTCTTAAAATATGGGTACTACACATTTGCTATTCACCAATCAAGTCTAACAGACGTTATGAAAACATTTGCTGCCAAACTTAAGATGTTCTATCAGTATTTTAGGATGAATATGATCCTCGTTCTTGCACATACCCAAATTTGAGTTTTAAACACTGAGCTTTGTTTCTACCTCAGTTGAGAATAATTTACATATTCATATTCTTAATTTTCATTGCCATTAGCAACCCTGCCTCTCCTCCCATGGTCAGCCTCATTCTTATTGAAAACTGAAGCACTGAACAGTCATTTAGTTTAGGGGTTATATTCAAATTCTCTTTAATCTCAACATCATCCTCACTATTTAGTAGTCAGGCTTCTTTCTCCACTCATATTATATACAGCCAAAGAGCCATTATTATTTGTTTTAAATTTCCTTTGCAAGGTCTGGCTTGACCTCTCGCCACTCACTTTATCCGTATGTTTTCTGACCTTTCATTTGTAATCAATCCTTTTTCCATCTCTTTGTAGGTGGTTACTCCAAATATCCTGATTAATCATTTAGTTGTCTGGAAGCCTTCCCTACAATTTTTTCCTCTTTCCTGGAATGCAAATTCCAGAGCTGCATATCAGACTTTGTTAGTCACAAAGAAGTCAGCATCATAACTTGCAAAATAAAGCAATCTCTAAAGAAAAAAAAAATCACATTCAAGTAGCAGAGAAATGTCTAATATTTGTTAGCAGCTGGTCATTTTCATTGAGTTTTGGAGTTTGCTTATTTCACTGCCAGTAGTCTTTTCTCTTCTTAAAAACTTAGAAGAAAAGCCAATAGAAATATATTGCATAAAAAAAATTCTTTTCCCACAAAAGATAGCTGAGAGTCTATATATGGAATGGAAATGAATGCTAAAGCCACAGTGCATCAAAATAAGGTTTTATAAAATTTCTACAGGACTTGCATAAAGGATGCTATTAACTATACCCAACTTTAGTATTATTTTAGTCACATATGGTACCATCTGTTGCTTTCAGAAAGAGCACCAGTCCACTGCTCTCAAAAACTGTCTCAGAAGATGCAAATAATCAAACTAGCATCTCCCAGAAGAGCCAACTAAGTTTACTCACTGTTAGGTTTCATCAGCTGCTTTGTTTTGGGATTTGCCTTTACAGATAAAAATTACATAACTCAGAAGCATGGAGTCCAAACACAGTAAAGTTTACATTTACTGGAAATTTTCTGCTTTTAAGCTGCATGCAACAGGGGTCTGTAGAATTATAAATAATTAGACATTTGGTAGAAAAGTATCAAACATTTTTTAAAAAGCACAAACCTTTGCTTGTCCATTATAATCATCATCTAAAATGTTTGAGGAGTTTGGAACAGTAATGCCACGGAAGAAACGAGAAGATCTCAGGTACCGCTGGAAACTTAATAACCTTCTGACATTCCTTGCAGACACAGAGACTTCAATTTCAGAATTTGCTAGAAAAAAAAAGAACAAATTCTTTCTAAAAATAATTAAGGAAAAAACCTTCCAAACAGGTTGGTAAAACAAAGATGTTTAAAAAAAATTTGTTTAATTTACTTTCGTCACTGTTCAATGCTTTAAACGAATTAAATGGTTGTATTTAGTGATAAGAATATAACTGTTCTAACAGTTAATCAGAACTATGGTTTAGAACAATTTGTTTCCTCTTCTCAACTCAATATAGAGACACAGAGACCTGCAAATTGAAAACTAGCCATATGTGTTTTAACTAAAAATACATTATATACTTAGGGACACTGAATAAGAATTACATTTCGTGTTAGTCCTGGAATAAAAACAAAACACATTAGACATGAGAATATTTCTTCAAAGAAGTGCAAATATATAAATAACTTCCTCTGGAAATTTATGATACATAAAACATTAGCAGCAGTAGCAACAACAGGTGTCATTAGTTAAGTTGTGGTATATGACTTAAAAATGACAAATACAACAAGAAAACCTTAAGCATCCAGAAATTACTTCTGCAAAAACTAGAACTTTGACAACTGTCACTATTGCTAATTATACAGTGAAGGTTTTCAAAAGCACTTAAGCAAAATTATTTTCAAAATTTTTTATACAAAACTTTCTCTGAACAACCCACTCCTGTTCTACTTATTCCCATGAGGTTCATACTGAACACCACCTTGCCTGAATACAGTAAAACTTGTACAGAAATCATTCTTGGCCTGTCTTTATTAAAACAACCCAAAATATTTCATCTATCTTATTCCACCTTTATGATGTCCTTCAAATTGTGCCTTCAGTTTTTCTTGTATATTATTCCTAGAATCAGCTGTACTTAGTATATATGAATGATCTTACAGAGTATTAATAAAATCAGGACACATTTGGGGAGCTCAGGATTCACATGCATACTCCTCAAGATGCACAGCCTCAGAAGTAATGCCTGATGATCTATACTACTTTCATTTCCAGAGAGATAACAGATATAACACAGCTGTAATTTTTGTAGTTAAAATTAAGCATTCTAGAACATATTTTGTAACTGAAGAGACGCTAGCCCAACATAGTCATTTATTAATCTACTAAACCCGAATAATTACCACAAACAATGTACCATTCCCATTACATTTTTTTGAAAAGTTAGACATGGTGAAACTGAAAGCATGAGCCTAATACTTTGTTTTTTTTTTTGTAAAGGTCAAAATGATACTGAAACTTTCACAGAGCTTTCTAGAATAGAAACTTCTCCCTACTAGATCAGGCCTTTCAGCCCCTATCCCTTGCCACCCTGGGAGGGGGGAGGGTAATACATCTCTTTAGACATACTCAAGTATAAAACTTTTTTTCACCTCGGCTTGAAGAAGTCATAATGCTGAAAAGGAAGAGACCAGACCAACTGATTCAGAAGCTAACATTCTTTCCACTTCACTCTAGAACAGAGGTTTAAAAGACAACTTGCAAAAGAAAATAACTGAACTTCATTTTTTAATCTAAGAAGATCTTAAGTAATACTTGCTTTTTAAATAAAGACAAAAACAAAAACACTAAACAAAACAGCATTTCTTTCCTTCTTTTACTTCTCAATTATAATTGTTTAATGTTTGAAAACTTGTTGCTTATGAATATAAAAATTACCATACTGAATCAAGTCCAGTATACTGTACCTGACTGTACATGTGTATGGTGGGGCATAAGGCATGTTAGGTGTATGTATGTCAGTGGGGACTGTGGGGGCAGGGTGTGGGAGCTTTGTGGGGTGCAGGGACCACCCCCCCCCACATGGCACGCAGCCCCTGCTGCCAGCAGCAGCAGGCAGGGGCAGGGGAGGGGCTCAGGAAGCTCATGCCCGGTAGGCACTGGTGCCCAATGGTCCATCTAGCCCAATATCCAGTTTTAGCCAGTGGCTTTAAAGTAGTGAGGGCCAACCTTTTGGCATGCCACAAATTAGCCCAGTGCCCACCTTCAGCGTCACTCTGACCCCCTTCCTCTACCCAATCCGTTCTGCTTCCTCACCTTTGTTCCCTGCCTAATCTGCTGCTTTGCTTTCGGCTTCTTGCCATCTGCCGCTGTGCTGCCTGTCCTACTTGTGGCATCCATTCCACTGGTTGGCCACCTCTGCTTTAGAGGGAAAGCATGTGAACAGAAAATATCAAGAGCAGTCCAACTCATCAAACCTTCCCTTTCTTAAGCCATCATTCATTTAGGGATGTCAGAAGATACATCCTTAATTGTTCTGTTTAACAGTTATTAATGAACATATCCCTCCACAAATTTGTTTAATCCAGGGGTGCTCAACCTCTAACCTGCAGGCCAAATACAGTCCATGAAGCCACAGCATATGACCTGCAGGGCTCCCCACAGGTAGGGAAATTTGGCAATGGGGAAACTCGAATAGGAAATATCAGTATGTTGATGCAGGGTGACTGGATTTCCTCCAAGTTGTTCCTGCACATGGAACTGGAAATATTTCAGATATGTGCCACAGAAGACTCGAACCTAAACCTTTCCCCTACTAATCTAAATTTGGGTTCCTGGACCCCTCCTCTATACAATCCTTCAAGTCACTACTATCATACATATCATAACTATACTAACTCCTGCCCTGAGCTTGCTAAACATTTGCCTCAACTTTAAACATCTTCATATCCATGAGGCAAGTACTTAATCAATTATGGAACCCTATATTTACATATTGGTATTTCCTATTCAAATTTATTATCATCACAGACCCACAACCCAGTCTCAAGTTCAAATGTAAAATACAATAAATCTATTATACCTCTTGGTAAAATAAAATATATTATGCATCAAAATGCAGAAATGTTACAAATGTTTATTCCTGATCCTCATGCTACTTGGAACGACATCATTTGGTTTAAGTGTCCATATTATAGCTGGTTAACTAAATTTGTATAAAGATTATCATGGTGTGAAGAATCAGCTACATTTGGAAAAGATGCAAAGTGGTTTTCATCAACTAACCAAAAATTAGCCCTCTGATTTAGTGACTTCAGAGGAAACTGTCATAGGCATATATGCTAATTAGGTATGTAGTTTTCACTGACTTTCAATGAAAACTAAGGGCTTAGCTGACAGTTGTGTGTCTTTTGCAGGAGGTGGGGAGAGGGGTATAGGGGGAACTCACCCTGTATCTTTATCCAAACAGTTTCAGGAAAGAGATTATTTTATAGACAGCTTATTAAATTCAAAACTGTTTGTGGTTGTATTCTGCTGAAGGTCTATAATCTTTACAAACCTGTAATGAAGTAAACCTTGTATTCTGGAGAAATTGCATAATTTCTTCAACAGCACTACAAGTCTTTCAGCAAAAGAAATAGAGAGATGTAGGGGTAATAGTTGGCAACTGACAGCAAATTGCACAAATTAGTGATAAATGTATTACACTTGACCTTAGCCACTGCAATTGGCAGCATATGACAAAGCAGGATGGTGATAATCCAGCTCCATGGCAATCTATAGTTTCTCTGCCTGACAATCTGAAATACTATGCGCTGTTCTCGACAGTGTTACCAGAAAAATCACAGACAAATTGAAAAAAAATTATAAAACTTTGCAAGAATTAGAAATATATCTCATTTTCTTTAGAGACTATTTAATTACATTTGTGCCATGAGACAAGTGGGTTTGTAATAACCACAGATATAAAAAAGCAGAATTAGTAAGATACTGCCTACCAAAATGCATTAACTGTTATGACAGACTTCCAGCATGTGTGGTTAGGTCTCTTCAACCTCCCCAGAGAACTGTGCGCTTGCACAACCATATTTTGGTAGGAATTTGGTTTTTAATGCATACACAGTATTTACATTAGAAAAAAAACAAGTGCAAAGCAATGCACCTTTGACTTGGATGAGAAGGTTGGGAGGTCTGTGATGTTCTTTCAGACTGCAAACAGACATCACCCCTCATCTCTGCATACCACTTTTTATAGCAGGACAAAAATGTAACTGTAAGCTATGCTTGCCCCTTGGTTGCACCCCAAATGCCCAAACAGGGATGTATAACAATTGCTACTAACAGTTTCTGCTGCTTTACCACACTAGATATCTGCATGTGCATCTGCAAGCATAGAGTGGGGACCTCATGGAGAGTTCCCCAAACTTGTAGACATGTACCCCAGCTCAGAGCCAGGCACCCAGGGCCATTGTCCCACAGCATAGAACTCCTGAAGCTCTGGTACCACCAGGAGCCTGATCCTGAGGAACAACAGCACTGAGTGACACCTATACCTGCCAATCAAAAACCATCAGCTGTGCTGGGACAATCCCAGCACAGCTAATCTCACCACAAAAAGTATGTATGTTGTAGCCCCGGTCCTTCATAGACTGCACTATCAGAGTTTAGTAGACATATTCATAAAACAACTTTGACTAGATTAAGTTTGGATTTTACGGAAAAATACCTCTTCCTTTATTATTTATGGAAGCGTCCGGTTTTGGAAATCTGGATCTTCCATTACTTATTTAGTAAAAAAGGCAGACATGGGTTACTTTCTCCAAAAGAACTTCATGATACAAAATTCTCCTTAATCAGTTCACAAATTTAAAGCTAGCTGACCTCAGGTTGTTCTCTCTCAAAAATCTCATAAAACCCTGGAGTGCTTTTGACTAACCTGAACTGAACAGTTACAGCTTTTCCTCAATTCCTTGTATGAATCCTTAAAAAAAAAATCCCATTCAATCTATCCTCATCTTTATAAACATTGTAAAACACGAACCCAGCCAGTACATTTGGTAAAACATATTGACATATAAGGCTTCTTTTTGTCAAACCCAATATGTCATCTCTGGTTTTATCAACCGAGCAACTTGCCAGTAAATAAGAAGTTTGTCTACCTACAAAAAAAAAAACAAGTCTGCTGTCCTCCCTATAAGACTACATCTACATTACACCATGTACTCACAGCATGGAGTTGGCACATGGAGACCACTAGGACTCCACAGCACTGAACCACAAATGTTTC